ATCTATCTATCTATCTATCTATCTATCTATCTATCTATCTATCTATCCATCTATCCCTCTCTATCCAAAAATCTCTATCTATCTATTTATCTATCTATCTATCTATCTATCTATCTATCTATCTATCTATCTATCTATCTCTCTATCCCTCTCTTTCTTTCTCTCTCTCTCCCTCTCTCTCACTCTCTCTCTCTATCTATCCATCTATCTATCTCTCTCTATCCAAAAGTTTCTATCTATCTATCTATCTTTCTCTTTCTTTCTCTCTCTCTCTCTCTCTCTCTCTCTCTCTCTCTCTCTCTCTCTCTCTCTCTCTCTCTCTCTCTCTCTCTCATACGCCCACACAATGTGTTGGAATACATTCCTATAACCTTTCACTTGTTTTTTTATTTTTATTTTAGCACCAGCAAACTGTAATAAAGAAACAGTAATAGAACCTTGGATAAGATTTTGTTTCATTGGAGTATTTAACTTTTTTCTTCTAGATCTAGATCTAGCGGCACGATTTCCAGACCTAGAAATAGAACTAAATTAAAAAGACAACTAAAGTCTTCTCCTTTATCTTCTTTTTTTTATCCTGTTCGTGACTCAAACGATCGTAAAACTTCCTTCTTTTTTTTTTACATTTTGCTCCTTCAAACTTATAGCGCAAAGCATGACAGAGGTCTCCCATTCTTGGAGGTCGAATGAAAGTTAAAAAATGTTCTAGATCTATAAATAATCTGTTTCGACATTCAGATACAGCTGGGCTGTATGTTCAAATGGGCCATATTCCTGCTGTTTCTAAAGATAGATGATCACCCGGCTCTTTTATGATCTGTGGGAGGTACACACGGATTTTCAAGGTTGTTTTCATTGTTTTATTCTGTTTTGTTTTGTCGGGGGTTGTTGAGTTTTCGTTGTTGTTGTTTTGTTGTTGAGTTTTGGGGGGGTTTTTTCATTTGTTGCTTTTTTAATATTCATTTTTATCTCAGACCCAGGATTTATTTGAGAACTGATAATTTTGAAACAAGAAGAGAATTTCGACAAAGTGGCGCTATTTCATTGATTCTTTCTTGTTGTTGTTGCTGTTGTTGCTGTTGTAGTAGCTGTTGTTAATGTTGTGGTTGTGGTTGTAGTTGTAGTTGTAGTAGTTCTTCTTCTTCTTCTTCTTCTTCTTCTTCTTCGTCTTCTTCTTCTACTTCTACTTCTACTTCTTCTTCTTCTTCTTCTTCTTCTTCTTCTTCTTCTTCTTCTTCGTCTTCTTCGTCTTCTTCTTCTACTTCTACTTCTTCTTCTTCTTCTACTTCTTCTTCTTCTTCTTCTTCTTCTTCTTCTTCTTCTTCTTCTTCGTCTTCTTCGTCTTCTTCTTCTACTTCTACTTCTTCTTCTTCTTCTACTTCTTCTTCTTCTTCTTCTTCTTCTTCTTCTTCTTCTTCTTCTTCTTCTTCT